GGCATATTTATTTTTAATTTATTGGCGGAGATAATTGTTTTTAATATTTGAGAAGGAATCTTTGGCCATTGAAAAAACCCACTTTCTTCTTCTTTATTTTTCTTTTGTAAAGGTAAAGAAAGAATACAATTTATATATTCCTTTTAATTTCTAAGTTCCTTTTTCTCTCAGGAAAGCTGAGTACGTGTCACACTGTCATTAGCTCTCATAGCAATAATAATTAAATTTTCTTAATATTATATAAAAAATTCTTTTGAAAAATTAGATACAAATTTGTGTGTATATATTAAATAAATACATTTTATTAATATTTTATAAAATTCTTACAAAAATATACAATAATAAATATTTAATTTTATATATGGATAAAAAAATTAAACTGCATAGTTGAAGTAGTATAACTTCTAAATAAACCCTCATTTTTATTAATTGATTTCCTAGTTGGTGTTTCGACGGAATCTGCCTTTTCTCGCCGGGAATAAATTGCTTGGATAGTTTCTACGTCTATACTTAACTTCTTCAAGCAAGTAAGCATTTTTGTTTGTTCTTTTATTTTTTTTTATGTTCTACTTTTTTTTCTTTTTTCTTTTGATATTATATGCATTTTTCGGTTAAAATTGTATTTTACAGATGTAACCATAATTTCCTGTAGATCTGAAGAAAATTGAAGGATCAGAAAAGATTTTGGTGGTGTGGGTTCGGATTGTTTGTCAGCGTGCTTCGAATCTGAGTAAGTTACAACGGTGTTCAATTTTAAACTGAATGCACGAGACAATTATTATTCCGTCATAAATTCTGATGCTATGTGTTTGTTTTAGTTTAGTTTAGATCTTAGCTCAATGTGAATGTTATAGTTGAATTTGATTTTTTTTTTCTTTTCTTATATTTTTTTGAATTGAACTTGAAATTTTTTGACTAGAAAGGAATTCCTTGCTGAGGTGAGTGTTCTTTAAAACAATATAGTTTAAGTAGCTTTATATGTTCTGGCCTCTATAAAAGAAGCTCTTTTGATGGTTTATTGAATTTTTAATTTTTTTAGTATCTGGTGCAAGCTCGAGCTTGAGATTGATCTGCATTTAGCAGGATTAAGTTAAACATTGATTGCTTTATTCATCAATCTACTTTCTATATAAATTGATAAGCAATTTATTAGATGAGAACATGATCGCTTAGATTTTGAAATTGAATTATTTGCAATTCTGTATCGACAGTATTTATGGTAGATCATGCAAAGTTCAGGAAAGGTGAATAATTTTTTATGTCAAAATGTGCAGACTGGGTAACCATGGCTATGTTGAGTATAGATCTCGGACTTTTACCCACTGTATGCTGTTTGTAGTTTACATTCAAGAATTTGGGTTTGATTTCTGAACTTTTAGATGGAATCAAACGTAGAGGAAGCACTCAGGTTTAAAGCAAATGCTGAGAAGAAGTTTGCGGAGAGAAATTTTGTCGGTGCAAGGAATTATGCTTTAAAAGCTCAGAAGTTCTGTCCTGAACTGGAGGGTATTTCTCAAATGGTGGCAACTTTTGGAGTTTATATTGCATCGGAGGCAAAAATTAATGGAGAATTTGATTTCTATTCAATTCTTGGAATGGATCCATTTGCCGACAAATCTAAGTTGAAGAAACAGTACAAGAAGATGACGCTGTTGCTCCATCCTGATAAGAACAAAACTGTGGGTGCTGATGGGGCTTTCAGACTCGTATCAGAAGCATGGACACATTTATCCAATAGTGTTAAAAGAATCTCTTACGATCACAGAAGAACTTTGTATGCTGGCCATGCTTCTGGGGCTGGTGGTTATGACATTTATTCCAAGGCTGCAGTTTCTCATAGCAGACTTAATACATTCTGGACCGTCTGTACCACCTGTGGTGTTCAATATGAATATCTCCGGAAGTATGTAAACAAACGGCTTTCTTGTAAGAATTGTCGTGGTATCTTCATTGCTGTTGAAACTGGAGTAGCCCCAATAAATGGTTCTTTCTCTTATGGTCCTAGCTCTTATGTGTCTGAGAATGGTTATGGAAGTCATGTTCGTGGAGGTGCTTATATCCCAACAACAACTGGATATTGTGCACCTAATGGAGTCTCAGGACATCATACTGGACGTGGAGCTGAGTATGTCTCCAATTTATCATTTCAATCTAACTCCTTTCCTGGATATTCTGTTGACGTTTTAGATCCTAATGAATCATCTACATCTTCCTTTACTTTTTATCAAGCAAATAAGAAGGCAAATAAAACAAAAGCCAATGGAAACCATCATATGGTAAAGGCTGCAGTTGATATTGTCTCCATCCCCTGTACTGATTATAACGGAATATCAAGACCGAAGCGTGGTAGACCTGCCAAGAAGATAAAAGTAGACTTGACAAGCAGTCATGCTAATGGACATGAAGAACTGTCCACAGAAACTGTTATAAAAGCAAAGATGACCTCTGGAAATGGGAACTTGAAGCATAATTCTAAGCTTTACTCGCCATCTGAGACTTCAATCAGACGCAGTTCAGCTGCGCCTCCATTTGATGCTAGACAATTGTTAATTGACAAGGCAAGGTCAGAAATCCGCAATAAACTTGAAGAGATGAGGTTGGCTTCAGAAGCTGCAGTGGCAGAGGCTGTGAAGCGGAAAACACAAGATGAAGTTGATAAATCCGGTGAAGCTGTCAAAATATCAGGTACAACTGGTACTGGCAATCACGCAGACCTGAAGAGAACTTTTTCAATGTCAATAACAGTTCCGGATTCAGACTTTCATGATTTTGACAAGGATAGATCAGAAGACTGTTTTAAGCCCAAGCAGATATGGGCCCTCTATGATGAAGAAGATGGTATGCCTCGCTTGTATTGTCTAATCCGTGAGGTCATCTCTGTCAGTCCATTTAAGATTCATATTGGCTACTTGAGCTCTAAAACTGATAATGAATTTGGATCGGTGAATTGGTTGGATTTTGGGTTTACCAAATCTTGTGGAAATTTTAGGGTCTATCATTCTGAAATTGTGGAGCAAGTCAACATCTTCTCTCATCTTCTTGGTAGGGAGAAAGCTGGTAGGGGTGGTTGTGTAAGAATCTATCCAAGAAGTGGTGACATTTGGGCTGTATATCGGAACTGGTCGCCAAATTGGAACAGAGCAACTCCGGACACACTGAAACACCAGTATGAAATGGTTGAGGTTCTTGATAACTACTCTGAAGAGCTTGGAGTCTGTGTTGCTCCTCTAATAAAGCTAGTTGGATTCAAGACAGTATATCAGAGGAACACCAACAAAGATGTCATTCAGTGGATTCCGAGAAAAGAAATGTTACGATTTTCGCACCAGGTGCCATCTTCTTTACTTAAAAGCGTAGACACTAAATTGCCCGAAGGTTGCTGGGATCTTGACCCTGCTGCAACTCCAGGTGACCTTGAAGAAGAATCTGAAGCTCAAAACAATGCAATTCCTTGTCGGGTACAGAACTCTTCCAAAACTCTAGATCAACAATGTCATTCAGGAACCATAGAATGGGAAGAAAAATTCAGTCAAACAAATAACTTTTCTACAAGTCCTGATGACTGGTCCCCAGTAGTGAGCAAACCATGCACGGAAGAGAGAATCTCAGTGGAGCTTCCTCAAGCTGAAAATTTAATCAAAACTCCAGTTGAGCTTCCTCAGACTGAAACACGAGTGAAGACTTAATGAGAGCAATCTCAGAAGAGCATCTTTAAGTCATATATGTGACACGGCTAAACAAAGTAGGGAGTGAAGCTCAAAGGTCATTTACATTATTCTGACAGTGCTGAAATTGAAAATGTACAGATTTAAATACACAGCCTAGAAACTATCCTGAAGAAATTAGGTAATTGATGATCAAAACTGATCCATATCCATTGCCCTCCATTGTTTTAGGTGGCTGTATTTCTGTTGTGCAATATGTAATGAGAATTCTATTGACTTCTAGTTTACATAAATGGTTCTTATATTTGATCCTAACAAGTTTGTGACGTTGTGCTCTAATTTTATTAGGAATTATTAGTTCTCCCATTCAGTTAATAACTAGATAATTTTCTACTTGATTCTACTTTGTCTTTCTACAACTCTTTCCTTCAGTACATGTGGACCAGTGTTCGAAAGTGGGAGACGAAGCTTGTACCAGGTATGGTTTGGAGAGGCAGCGGGATTCAGCAGCATGGCCTGTGCTTCAATTCTGATGCAGCAGTGTGGTTGGATGTTGGTTTTATTGGTATAGGTGGGGTTCTGCGGGATTGCTGAGGGATTTGTAGTTGTGGCCTATGCTTGAAGGCTCGCTGGCCACTTTTCTCTGGATGATGCTGAGGCATTAGCCTTGCGCTATGGAATCTCCTTTACTGTTCAGAATGGCCACTACATTCCTAAAAATATGATTACTTTAGTCCATTGTTTGCCTCTTAAGCTGTTTCTTCTCAGTGTCATTATTGGTTTGATCGTAGCTCTCTTTATTTCGTCGTGTGTTTGTTGCATTTAGTTGAATAAAAAGTTGTTATTTGGTGTTAAACGAAAAAAAGCGATTTCTGTTTTTGGGTTTGAGGGGCAAACTAATTCAAGTTTCTTTAGGCTATGGATGCTCAGATTATTTCTGGTAAAAAATGTATGTTTAGGCATCATTACGAATATCATATTTAAGCATTAAAATTAGAAAGTAGGGGACTTGTTAATTCAATCATCGAACAAAAATATGGGTCTTTCAGGTCGAAAGGAAGTTGGTGAGCTAATAATTAGAGAGTTGGCACCAAAGCCTTGTGAACGTAGTGGCAAGATTTATGACTCTATAGACAAATATCTGGAATAAGAGCATCTTCAAAAGACTCTTTAAACATAAGATATTCTCTATTTTAAAGAGTCAATCCTTAAACATAAGATATTCTCTTTAAACATAAGATATTCTCTATTTTAAAGAGTCAATCCTTAAATGTTTACAAATAATATTATTTTGAACACCTTATAATTTACAAATATAGACAAAATGTTTAGACTTCAGGATTGAACAACTGGTATAAGGCTACCAACATGAACTATTGTCTGAAACAATCTTGGCATCCCCCGAAATGAAACCTCCTTAAAAATTTCGCTGTCGGGATTATAAGAAACCAAAGTTCCTCCTCTGTACTCCACCAAGATGTCCCCATTCTTCAAAAGGCATATAATCCGGACGAATCGCCGACCCAGAAAGTTCTTCCAAATCCGATAAGGTTTTTTCAATTTAGGAAGAATAAACCTTGGGGAGTAAGCTCCAACAGTGAACTCCTTCACCCAAGAATCTTTCACTCCATATTCTTTCATCACCCAAATATCCAAAGCTCCATTACCCCCACGAAAAGGCACGGCAGCAGAAAGGCAACCCCCTAAAACAGCAAGATGACCATTCGTCCAACTTCTACCAGTGTCAGGCCTGGGAATCTCTTGAAATGAATCATCGACAAGGTCAAAAGATACAATGATCCTGTCACGACGCCAATTGTAGTTTCCCCGTTGACTCATCCAGTGAAGTCTCCCACTCAACAAAACTCCTGGTGAAGACCTTTTCTCTAGTCTGTAAGGTGCTTCGCCTATGCTTCTCCATTCATTGGTACCCAGATTGAATATCTCAACATCTGATCTCCGTGAACTCATATTGGTTAATCTGCGGAAGTGCCTAGGAATTTCAAGATTATAGGCATTCGGATAGTAAACTATCTTGATCACCTTGTACTCTTTAGTAATTGGATGGAATCCGAATCCAACTATGACAATCTGATCTTCAAATTCAACGGACTTGGGTAGCACTTTGTAGTCCCTCGTAAAAGGATTGTATATGTATATGGAGTCAGCTAATAATGAATCAATCAGGCACAACAGACCATTGCATGAGCCAATCATATTAAATTCTGGCGTGGAACCGACAAAGGGAGTATCGATTTTTCTCACTATTTCATTGTCATCAACATCAGAAAATTCAACAAAGTGAAGCTGGTTTCGAATGGGATAATCAGAGTGGAAAATAAGGCATAACCTTTGACAAATCAGTGCCCGAGACATGTGCATATTAACAAGTTGTAGATCATGAGACAACAGGTTCCAAGATCGACAAGCAAACCTGGATTGGATAACAGATTTGATGGGCAACCTAGAGAGTATGTCGAGGGCAATTTCATGTGGCAAACAATTTAAGTGCTGATCTTCACCTTCTTCTTCTTTGTGGCACTTCCTTTTCTTGATTTCTCTCTGGAAATCCATGGCTCGGATTGATATCAGCAATCACGACCTAAAAATAAGAAAAAAAAAAAACAAAAAACTTGGCAGATAAGGTACGTTTGTCGATGACTACAATATAGTATTTGGCTGTACTAAAAAAACAATTTAAGCAGCTGTTGTTTGTGTCTTTGTTGTTTTATGTGAAAATGTCTTCTTTTGAGTTAAAAAAGTCATTATGACTCCCTCCTTTCCTTTCTTCCTTCCTAGTTCATTACTTTCCAACACCTAGGACTACGTTTGCCTAATCTTAAAAAGTTTGCTTAAGTAATAAGTAAACTAATTAACAACCAACCTTTTCATTAATTAAAATCAAAAACAGATAAGCCCCCACGGGCATGGACCACTGCAGGAGGGTTTCCTACGGAATATTAGAGGTTCGAATCCCTGCAACAGTTGGAAAGCAGTTGTCCTATGGTGGCAAAGTTATGGTGCGCTTTGTCACCCCTCTAGGGTCCTGTCCGCACGTTGTAAAGAGAGGTCCACAAGGAGGATAATTGCTTCCCGAATGTCCGCCCAACTGTATATAAGTTGTGACCGCATCCAAATTTACCTGGATGGCAAACCAGAGGGAAGACCGACATTCCTCAGGATTAGTCGGGCGAAGTTTTAGACACCTAAGTCACAAAAAAATAAATAAAAAAGAAATAAAAATCAAAATAAAAACAGATAAATTATTAATATTTTGACATTAAGGTAGCTAAAAACTACAATTGAAATAACATGAACATTCTGCATTCGTTAATACTGGATAATTACGAATTAGATAACATACTTGGACTTCGTTTTGTTAAATTAAACTATCGTTAAAAAGCATACATGTGCAATTAGCACAACACCAATTCAATTCTAGATAAGTTTTTATCGAACGGTATGGCTTCCTAGAAATACACAAAGTATAAGCTATGTAGTACTAAAGATTAATGCAAAGACTCAGTGAGGTAGAGGTTGAATAGGTTTACAGCCTAACTGTGAGGTAAGTGTAAGTCGTAGTTCTGCCGAAATTCTGGGATGATTCGCAAGGTAAGATGAAATTTTGATCCATCGTTCTATTCTTTCATTTTCTGCCTGCTTTCTCAATCTCCTACAAATTCTTTTAAATAACAGTAGCATCTGTAGGGTGCCAGATGTATCTCAAATGTACTCTCGAGCCTGTGGCCGGCCGCTATCCGACTGAGTAGCCAATGTGTTATATAAAGGGAGGGGAGGTACATTCTTGTCAACACAAAATGTATTCTGCTCACTGTTAGCTTCCAAATGTATATATGAATTAATATGTTTCAACTATTTTTTGATAAATTGAGCTAAAACTAAACAATTATCAAGTGTACTCTATGCTGAAATTCTGTTTGTCTTTGTTAGAATTTGGGTTTGACCCGAATTCCTTGTTTGAAGTATTGAAGAACTCTAATTGTAGTGAACATTAAGAAGAATTCAATTTTGAAATGCTATTAGAGTCCTATATCGAGTTGAAATTCTATTTTGAAAGCCCATTGGGAGTTGGAAATTGATATTAGACTTGAAAAAGAGTTTGGAATTAAGAAAAACACTTTGAAAGCATGTTTTGAAATATTAACCCGAAACCTAGCGCCTGAGCGCTGCTACAGTAACATGTTTCGGGATTTTTCCTCTTTTTTTTTTGTTTCCTACTTCGTTTTGGACTCGTATTTTGGGGATTCTACTTCATCCACAACCCTACCAAGAGGTCTTAGACGTCCCCTACATTACAACTCTACCAAGAGGTCTTGGATGTCCCCTACATGTTCCCTATAAATACTTGGCTCTTCTATACAATTTAGTAACACAATTACATGTGAGAAAATAGATTACAAAAATTATAGGATCATTGTAATATTTTTCTCTCTTTTCCATTACTCTTAATGCAATAAAATCTTCTAATTCTTCTGCCATATTCTTTTCTTCTTTTATTCTTTTGTTCTTGATTCTTAATGCAATAAAATCTTCTAATTCTTCTGCCATATTCTTTTCTTCTTTTATTCTTTTGTTCTTTATCAAATACTATATTACTTAGCCATATAACTTCAACAAATCAATCCGGTGATTGGTGTCACAACAAGTGGTACCTATCCTAACAGTCTTGGCATCAGAATTTCTTCGAGGGAAAAATCTGCTGCCTTTTCAGGTGCATGGAATAGGAAGGTAGCTGAATACCCATGTTACCTCAGGCGCAAATCAGTCTACACATTGTCTATAATGCTTGTTTCAAACTCAAAAGAAATAATATGTTTTAAGTTCTAAAATTTCTAGAAACAGTTTTAAGGACTATAGTTTTTCCAAAACCTACAGTGGACATGAGTAATAGAAGGACGCCTTCATACCATAATGAAATTGTTTCAGCAAGGAATCAAAGCATTCTAAATATAAAATTACAAATATTAACAAAATGTTACAAGTTCTTATGCATGGTCTAGAATGGAACTGGATTAAGGCTACCAACATGAACTGTAGTTTGAAATATTTTTGGCATCCCTTGAAATGAAAGATTCTTAAACTTTCCACTATCTGGATTATAACAAACCAAAATTCCTCCATTGTACTCCACCAAGATTTCACCCGTCTCCATAACGCATAGAATCCGAACTGAATTCCCAGCAAAAAAGTTATGCCAACTCAAACACCCATTCTGCAATTCAGGACCAGTAGTCCTTGGAGAGTAAGCTCCAAGAGTAAACATCTTCACCCAAGACTCTTGTACTCCATATTCTTTCATCACCCAAATATCCAGAGCCCCATTACCTGAATGAGTGGCAGCAGATAGGCAACCCCCCAAAACAGCAACATGACTGCTCGTCCATATTAAGTGCCCAGTGTCTGGGTTTGGGATCTCTCGAAATGAATCGTTAGAAAGGTCAAATGATACAATGATCCTAGTGTACTTGGCCATTTGACTCATCCAGTGAAGTCTCCCACTCACCAAAACTCCCGGTGAAGACCTTTTCTCCAGTCTGTAAGGTGCTTCCCCCATGCTTCTCCATTCATTGGTACCCAAATTATAAATCTGAACATCTGATCTATGTGATGTCATTAATCTGCTACATTTTCTAGCAATTTTAAGATTATTGACATTTGGATAGTAAACTATCTTGATCAACTTGTATTCTTTAGTAATTGGATGGAATCCAAATCCAAACATGACAATCTGTTCTTGGAATTCGATAGACTTTGGTAGCACTTTATAATCCCTTGTAAACGGATTGTATATGTATATGGAATCAGCAGATAATGAATCAATTAAGCATAAAAGGCCGTTGACTGAGCCAATCACGCTAAATTCTGGCATGGAATCAGCAAAGGGAGTACCAATTTTTCTCACTATTTGATTGTCATCAACATCCAAAACCTCAAGAAAATGAAGCTGGTTTCGAAGCGGATAATTAGAATGGAAAATGAGGCATACCCTTTGATAAATCAGTGCCATGGACATGTGCATATGGACGAGACGTGGATCATGAGACAACAGGTTCCAAGATCGACAAGCAAACCTGGATTGGATAACAGATTTGATAGGCAATCTAGACAGTATGTCAAGGCCGATTTCATGTGCCAAACAACTTAAACGATTTGTGGGCTCATCTTCTTCTTTGTAGGACTGCCTGTTCTTGAAATCCATGCTCTGATTGCTAATATTGCAACTATTGTTTTGAGCAGTTGACCGTCTAAGAAGTTGGAAACCGTTTTAACAGATCAGAAAGTAAAATTTTGACTTTTAACAGATTTATGGACCAAAACTGACGACTGGGACTAGTAAAAGTTTGACAAAGAACTTGTTTCCTTTTGAAGGTTAATGCCCAACTTGCTATTCAGACAATATCAATGCTACAATTATTTCTTTAGCCTTTGGGTACCTTGTCAACGTTGGTGAATTTTGGTCCCCAGATTATATATCTGAACATCTGATTTCCGTGAATTAATATACGCCAAGCGCCTAGGATTATCGAGATTATAGGCACTTGGATAGTAAACTATCTTGATCGCCTTGTGCTCGAGGATGAAATCCGAATCCAAATATAACAATTTAATCTTGGAATTCAGTGGACTTTTGGTAGCACTTTATAGTCCCTTATAAAAGGATTGTATATGAATATCGAGTTAGCAAATAAAAAATCAACCAAGCATAAAAAGGCCGTTGCATGAACCAATCATACTAAATTCCGGCAATTGGAGTATCAATTTTCTTCACAATTTCATTGTCATCAACTTCAGAAAATTTAACAAAGTGAAGCTGGTTCCGAATTGGTTAATCACAGTGGAAAATTAGGCAAAACATTTGATCAATCACTGCCCTGGACATGTACATACTAACAAGGTGTGGATCACGGGAAAATAGCTGACATGATCGACAAGCAAACCTAAATTGGAAAATGGGCAAGGTACGGAGTTTGTCAGGACGATTTCATGTGGCAAACAACTTAAAGCGATGTTAAGAATCAAGATCCTGTTGGAAAATGCGAAATTGGTTGTGACCAATTTAAGGGATTGTTTAAGTGGAATTTTTTGTTTGGTGAATGAGAAATTAAACCAAACTTAAAATGCTTAAATGCTTGAAATTGTTGGAAATTGTATAGAATATTGTAGAATATTCTAGAGAATGAGTGGATGAAGAGATGAGTCTTTTCATATGGAAGATCATGACTTTTGGAGATCATGACTTTTGGTGTGAGTAACTTCCAATAATTATGATTCTTAATTTCAAGATATGTGTCTCTTGGTGTGGTTTCCAACTACTATATATATAGATCCCCATGTTTTTGGATTTTATGAAAAAACAACAAACAATTCAATTGATAGTTTCATATCATTCCATTCCATGTTTACAATTTAGTTTTGCATAAAACACTTTGTAGAAGTGATTATTTCTTGCATCAAAATCATGGTTATGGTAGAGAGGGAACTCCGTTCGAG